TTTTGCGGTACTCGGGCCTCTCACTGTTGTGGCCTCTCCCGTTGCGGAGCACAGGCTCCGGACGCGCAGGCTCAGCGGCCATGGCTCACGGGCCTAGCCACTCCGCAGCATGTGGGATCTTCCCGGACCGGGGCAAGAGCCCGTGTCCCCTGCATCGGCAGGCGGACTCTCAACCACTGCGCCACCAGGAAAGCTCAGAGTTTGTGCTTTTAATGATTCCTCCATACGTCTCTTAAAATCTCAAAATTAACCTCTATCACATTGATCACCTTTCATACTGGAATCAGATTATCAGGAAATGGAGGGAGAGATTTTCATTTCAGTTTTATCAGGAGAAATAAATGTCATTTAAATAAATGATTTTGAATGTGAAATGGTATGCTGAATTTTTGGTACCATGCATTTGGGAAAGCTAATAGGAAAATAGATCGAAATGACCAATGATCTTGGAATGGTTAAATTCAAGGCAAAGTCACTGGAAGTGTTTCCTGATATGTACTTATAATTGCATATTTTCCTGTCTTCTTTGTACTTGGGGAATATTTTGGACCTGCTTTACTTTGGAGTAAACTATTCCCTTGGAACTTTTTTTATATCGGCCTTTATTGAGTCAGTAAATATTAACTGAGTGTTAGCTAAGGGTAAAGCATTACATTTGGCCCTGGGGGATATAAAGAAAAGTAAGAAAAAGGTTCATCTTTGAACAGAATTTTAATCTCATTGGGAGAACAAGTTTTTGTTGGGATAGAGAACAGGGGATCCCAATAAGAATGTGATAAATGCTGTGTGATTTGGGCAGACTTTGGGGATTTCACTGAGGAGTGGGCATCTTGAACTTTGATGCAGAGTCTGAAGGTGAAGTAAGGTTTTGATGGACAGAGAGAAGTCAGCACAGGTGTGTTGAAGAAAGCGGGAGGCAAATGATAGAGAGAGAGTTGTAAAAGGATAAGGTATTTAATACACTAAGAGGGCCCTTCACCTAGAAAGAAGGGCTCATACAGGGGCCTAATGGGAGGTAGGATGAGGAGGGTAGGCTTAAGACCCTAAGCTGTCCATTAAGCAACCCCAAGCCCATTGCAGTATAGTAGACGTGCATCCATATGAAGCCGGATTGAAAGTTATGTTGAGGTTGGGAGAGGGAGGTGAGGATTTTATGCTGCTGACTTAGCCTACTTGGTCGGAGATTCAACAAGTCCCCTTTCAAAGGTGACCTGAGGATAGGATGGGTCCCCACACTTAGATGATTATTACTAGTACCCTGTTTGATAGACAATTTTTATCAGCCACTTTTCGTTGTTGTTTTTTGTTTGTTTTTTAGTTGAGCTGTAATGTACATTCAGTCAAATGTATTCCTTTTGGTGTGCAGTTCTATGAGTTTTGACAAGTCTTGTAACCATGAACAGAATTAAGATACAGATTAAGATCCATCACCCCCGTTATTTCCCTGTGCCCCTCCATAGTCAACCTCTCCCCTCACCTCTAGCCCCTGGTAATCACTGATCTGTGGGGTTTTTGTTTTGTTTTTTTTTTTGTCCTTGTGGTTTTTGCCTTTTCCGAAGGTAAGGTCGATGGAATCATATGACAAGTAGCCTTTGGAGTCTTGCTATTTTCTCTCAGCAAAATGTGCTGGAGATTCATCCACGTTACATGAACCCATAGTCCTTCCTTTTGATGGGCTCAGCCCATTTGATTTACTTCTGCCCATTTTGGTTCTAAGCTGAGAGTTTGATTTCATACCTCTTGCATGACTTGGTATTTCCTCCTGCTTTCCCCAGACTCCCACGTGCTGGTCTTTACTCCCTGGAGGCCCCCCTGTCTCTCTCTCCTCCCCTCCACAGCGAAACTTTTTAAAGATTGTCAACACTGCCCCCCCCTCTACTTCCTCACCTCCTACATCCTCACTTCACACAATCTGGCCTCCACTCCCACCTCCCTTAGTCAAATGCTCTTGCCAAGGACACCTCCTGGTTGATAAATCCCAGGAGCACTTCTCAGGCTTTGTCTAAGTTGGCTTCTCCGCAGGATTTGACAGTGATGACCATCTCCTCCTTCAAGCATCCTTCTTCCTTTGTTTGGTAGCACAAGACTCTCCTGGGATTCTCCCTGCCTCCCTGGCTTGTCCTCCAACTCACAACTGAGCTCCTCTCCCTTTGCCCATTTCTTATGCGTTGGCACCGCCCAGGTGAGACCCTGCGCCTTCCCCTCTTCCTGTAGGTTCCCTCTGAGCTGTGTCACCTGTGTCATATTATAACGGATGCCTGGAACTCTGTTCCTGATCTTTTACAAGAGCTTCAGTCCAACTGCTACACCCCTTTTGGGTGTCCTGAAGGTGCCTTGGACTAAATGTGCCCCAAAATCATCATCCCCACCCCACCCCATCCACCATCAACCCGTGTGCAAGCTGGAAACCTCAGGATGCCTTTGGCTCATTGCTCTCCCTCATCCTTGATGTGCTACAGCTTTCTGAGTTCTATTGATGGTGCATTTTCAAAATCTCCAGATATGCTTCATTCCCAAAGCAGCTAGCCTCATCCAGACTACTACCTTCTCTTTCCTGGTTTATTAGAGTAACCTCTTATTTCCAATTTTATTTGGAAACTCCATATAGCAACCAAAGCTATTGTCTAAAACACAAATATGATCATATAATCCCCCTGTCCAAAACATAACAGTTTTTTTAGAGCCATGTTCAAACTCTGTAACATGCCACACAAAGCCTGTCACAATCCGAGCCTTGTTTACCTCTTCATTCATTCATTCATTCATTCAACACATCTTTGTTGATAACCTCTTGTTATGGCAGGCCATGTTAGTTACTTGGGATCGGTGAGCAAAGTGACTGACATGTCTGCTCTCATGGAGATTGTGTAGGATATCATAAATGAATTACGCAGCACGCTGGAAGGTGTCAGGTGCTATGGAAGAAGGAAGAGAAGAAACAGTTGGGGGGAATTGCTAGAGATGGGGTAATGTGCAGCCTGGGATTTTAAATAAGGACTCAGGATTGCTGTCATTGAGAAAGTGACATTTGAGAAGGGTTTTGGATGAAGCGAGGAAGTTAGTGATGAGGATATTTGCGGGGGGCTCATTCCAGGCTGAGGGCAAAGACCCAAAGGTGGGAATGTGCCTGGTCTTTTAAGAAACAGAAAGGAGGCCAGGTTGTGGGGGCAGAGTCAGCTGGGAGGAAAGCAGTGCCACCAGGAAAGGAGGTTGTACGGGATCGTTTTAGGTCATTATAAGGACTTAGGCTTTTACTTTGAAAGAATGAGGAGCCATCAGAGGTGTTTGAGCAGAGGGGTGACCGTGGCTCATATACAAGAGGAGCATTCTGGATTCTGGCTGCCTGGTTGAGAGTAGATGGTATGGGGCCAGGGGACAAGCAGAGAGACAAGTTAGGAGTTATGCCGGGAGCCAAGCTTCACTTCTCCCTCCCTCCCCCAGGCTCTGTGTTCAAGCCACACCAACGGACTTCACTCTTCAGAAGGGCTGTGGGTGCCCTTATATCTCAGCTTTGCCTGTGCTGTTCCTCCCACCTAGAAGGCCCCTTGCATGACCCCATCCCTTAATCTTTGCTTGGTTCACCCCACTCTTATTTTATGTCACAACTTAGATGTCAGTTCCTCCAGGACATCTTCCCAAATGTAAGATGGGGTCCCTCCTTTGTTCCAACAACATCTGCTTTACCATCATAGCTCTGGTCACAGGGAACTATGGTTGCAGGTTAAATCTCTCTCTCTCTCCCACTTGTCTGGAAGCTTCACAAGGGTAGGGGCCACGCTTCTGACATCCTCTCCACACCTGGCTCTAGCGGGTGCCCAGTTAACCGTGCCATTGCCGAATCTCTAGGTCTGTGAGTGGCGGCCCCCTGAACAGCTGAAACAGCTCCTCGACTTGGAGCTGAGGGACACAGGAGAGCCACACCACCGGCTGTTGGAACTCTGCCAGGACGTCATACGCTACAGCGTCAAGACCAGTAAGAACTTCACTGACTCCCTTGATCCGTGCCTCTAACACATTCTTCCATTTTCTTAAGCCTGTATTTACCTCATAGTAAAGGCAGCTAGGGCACTGTTTATGGGATGAGAAAGCTGGATCAAAAATAGTGGTTCTGATGTTTTGACAATGGTCCATCTAATCCGTAAAATAGATTTGTCAAGGCCAAAGATAGGTTGATAGAAAAACTGATGGTTAGTGGTCATATGTAAATATTATCTCCTCTTCAGCAATCCTCATCCTCCTGATAAGTAGCAGTATCATGACTGCTACTTATCATTTCTTTTGTTGGTCCAAACTGATAAACAGTATTTTGATTTTAGAAGTTGTTAAGGGATTTAAAATCTTGATCACCCAGAATATGGCCCCCCAAAATGTTCAAGAGGGTGTCTTTACTATAAACAGGGATAGATTTATTTGTAAAGTAGTCTTGGCAGTTGGCAAGTACCAAATTATTTGATCAAATCTAGCAGGATCAAAAGATAAAAACCTTTCGGAAGGTATAAGAAAATGAATGCATGGTGAGTTTTTGCTCTGATAGTTTCACAATAATGCTTAACCACTGTGATCTTTTGTAAATGCAGTAACATGATATTTGTCTTGTGCTTAAGTCCTATTCCAATTGACTGTTAATATCCTATATACCCAGTGAATGTGTCAGCAGTAGAAGAATAACTTTCCAAAATATGCATTTCTCAGTGTGATATAAAGGTAATCTAGTGCTTAAGACCATACAGGCATTATGCCTTGTGAGTTCTGACACTGAACTAAATTTAGTGGAAAGAACATAATAAAATCCTGGCTAAAAATAATTGGTTTATATTCCCTTGGGAAAGTCTGGTGTATGTATCAAAAAACCAGTTAGCATTTCAAAAGCAGAGATACATATCTCATTATTACAGTGCGTGTCGGAAGTGTAGAATGACATTTAATGCAGTAGATTTTTCAGTTTACTGGATACTTTCCATAAAGTTACCATGGAAATCAATCATAAATTAACGCGGAACTAAAAAAAAATCTTATTAAAATTACTTGTAGCAATGTCTGGTTTCCTTTGCCAGATTAGAGGAAGTTTGCCACGTTTTATATGAAAAGACATTTTCTTCTGAGACTTTTGTTTTTCATTGAACTGGTTTCAAGAGAAAAAAACCCCAAAACCAAATGCGGTGAGTTGCAATGAGAGGTCACTAACTGAAATGATTCCCAAATACCCAAATTTAGAAATAGGCCTCCTGCCTCTTTATCCTTTGTCACACTGGGCTTCCTATGATTGAGAATGTCAAGCCAGCCGTTAGCCGGGGGTTTGGTGTGAATATTCGCACTGTGTAAAGCCAAGAACCTTTATGAGACCTTTTATAGGAGGGAAAAAAATAGAAAGTTGGAACTGAAGTTTTTCGAGCCTTAAAGGCAACTGCCTTTGAAGTGCATTGAATCAGAAAGTTTATGTAAGCTGCATGATGAGTCACATCTTACTCCATCAACCCGATGCCAGTTGCACTATAAAAAATGGTCCAATCTGAAAAATTAAAAGGCCGCTCACTGCCAGGAGCCTGAAGTGAACCCTGTTGGTGAGTGAAATATGTTTAAATTAGGGAAATTAACATCGATATAGTTTTAGAAGGTAGCAGCAGGCTTTGATATGTGGACAAACTGCTCAAATAATCCATTTCTCAAGGTTCTGGTTTGGGTCTGGGTTGTATTTAAAAAGAAACAGGTAAAGCAGAGCTCTCAAAAGAGTGCTCAAGTTCTGCTTAGAAACATATTGTTCAGTAGACAGGGCTATGAAATGGGTCTTCAACATTTGTTTCCCTTGTACATGACAATATTTTAAATGCTTTTTTTTAATTGAGGTATAATTTACATTCAGGAAAGTGGAAAACCTCAGGTGCTAGGCTCAGGGAATTTGTACATATCTGCATGTAAGCGACCATCACCCAGAGCAAGATATACACCATTCCTGGGACTCCAGAGGCTCCCTCAAGCCCCTTCCTAATCAATATCTCCTTGCCAAAGGTACCCAGGATTCTAATCTCTGTCTCCAGAGATCAGCTTTGCCCCATATTGAACGTCATATAAGTGGAATCATGCATTGTATACTCCTTGTATCCAGCTGCTTACATTGTCTGAAGGATTCACTTATGTTATTCTGTGTCGATAGTTTTCTTTCTTTTTCACTGCTGTGTAGATTTATATTCTGTTTCACTTTACAGACCATCCAAGATTTTTCAACCAGTTATATGCTGGACTTGATTATTACTCCTTGGTGGCCAGATTTATGACAGAAGCATTAAACCCAAGTGTGTGAGTACCTTTAAATGGAATTTTACAAGGAATATGGATTAGAGATTTTGTTAAGTAGGTGAAGTTTTATTTCATGAACTTCTATTTAATGGTTTCATTTGTGCAGTGTCATCATAAATAATGGAATAGTCTTATGACACTTTGTAGTATTCAAAGAACAGTTTGATCTGATAGTGGTACCGTGAGATGGGTAAGGCAGGAATTATCTCCACTTAACAGATGAGAAAATTGATTAGGAACTCATTCCTGCATGAAAAGCCATGTCTGTGCTAAGGTGCTGGAGAGATACTTTGTGTAAAAACAAACCTCTGCTTTGCCTCCATGAAGCAAATAATCTAGTGATATAGAGATGCATGCAAATTAATCAAAATGATCTACACAAATAATTTATGTATTATTTTCAAATGAAGGAGAGGTGCATGATGCTATAAATATAAATGGGACAAGTTTTCCTTGTTGGGCACTGAGGGAAGTCTTCTCTGAGGAAGTGACGGCTAAGTGCTGAAGAATGAATGAAAGTTAACTAGGTGAAAAGAGGAGGGATGGGTTCCAGAGGGAACAGCATTGTTCAAAGACGCTATGACAAGAGACAGCATGACATGTGCTATGAACCGAAAAGTCAGGGTGGGTGTAGCTGAGAAAGTTATGGGGTGGTGTCATGGAGGGCAAGGTTGGAGCCAGACATGCAGGGCCCAGTGGGCCACATTTATGAGTTATTCTAAGTACAATGAAAAGCCATTGAAGGTTTCCACATCACTAGGTGACATTTGCTTAGTAAAAAGATCACTGGAAATATGGAGAATGGATTGGAGGAGACCCATTAGGATGGCATTACCTTGGTCAGGTAAGAGATGACAGTTGCTTGGATTTAGACAGAAGTGGTAGGAATAGAGGGGAAAAAACGTGTTTGGAAGATAAAACAGGATAATATACTGGATCTTGGAAATGGGAACAAGAGGGAGGTTTATAAGGTGATGCCTGGGTTTCTGGCTTTAATAGCTGGGTTGTTGGTCATGTCACTCACTGAGATAAGAAGCACCGGAAGAGGGACCGATTTTCAAGTATATGGTTGAAAAGGCAAGAGCAGTAATTCAGTTCTCGATTGTGAACATTTGCATTTGCAGTAACTTTGAAATATTTAAGAGTATAGTCTTGGTGAGTTGAGATATATATGGGCCTGAAATTCTGATATTTATATGGAAGTTATAAATTTAGGTGTTACTGGCGAATGATGGTAATTTCAGTAGCGGGCATGGATGAGATTCCTAAAGTCAGGGGTTCTCAACTCTTTCTGCTCTTTAGAATCAACCTAGGAACTTGGTTAATATTAAGACCTGGGTCCCAGCCCAGACCAATTAAATCTGAATTTCTGTCTATGTGTCCCAGGCACTGATATATCTTCATAGCCCAACAAGTGATTTTAATGAGCAGGATGGAGATATTTTAAATGAAAACAAACCAGGAGATGGAGAAGCACTTTCTGCAGGACAGCGTAGAGCGAGGAGAGAAGACGGCTCGGGCCTGGGCCTTGGGGGCATCTGATATTTCATGGTTGGGAGGAGGAGAATAAGCCTACGGTGGAGACAGAAGGAGGAGAAAATCCACTGGGAAGACCTGGGAGCCGTGGAGGAGGGTGTGTCCAGAGCGGAGTGTTTAACTAAGACAAAGACTAAAAATGTCCCCGGGGTTAACAACATGGCTGTCACTGGTGACTTCACTTACAGAATTTTTCATGGAATAATTCAAGACAATACCAGATACCAGGTTACAGTGGGTAGAAGAGTTAAGTGGTAGAAAAGAGAGTGAAATTACACAATTCTGTGAACCTCTCCCTTTTTTTTTTTTGCTGCGGTACGCGGGCCTCTCACCGCTGTGGCCTCTCCCGCCGCGGAGCACAGGCTCCGGACGCGAGAAATGAAATCTCTTTTTTTTTTTTTGCGGTACGCGGGCCTCTCACTGTTGTGGCCTCTCCCATTGCGGAGCACAGGCTCCGGATGCGCAGGCCCAGCGGCCGTGGCTCACAGGCCCAGCTGCTCCGCGGCATGTGAGATCTTCCAGGACTGGATCACGAACTCGTGTCCCCTGCATCGGCAGGCGGACTCGCAACCACCGCGCCACCAGGGAAGCCCATGAACCTCTCCTTTTAAGTCCTGGGCTCTTTCTAACTCCTCATCTGGGTTCTTTCACTGAAATATTTAGGGGCTTTTGAAGTATTAAATTGCTGCTAAGCTGAGTAGTCCACTCAAAATCTCACGAAGCCACGAGGGCATCCTGTACTGTCCTCTCCTCCACCTCCAGGCCAACTTCTAGGTTTACGGTTGAGTTAGTTTTCAAAGACAAGTTTAATAGTATTTTTTTCTTACTAAAAAGTGAATGATTATTTCACTTTTATTTGTAGGTACACCTACACATATATACTTTTTTTCCACACTTTTGATATGTGTAAAGTGGTTTCCTAGCATGGTTGAAAATAGAAGCTAAATTGTTTGAAAAATGATGTAACTTCTGTAGAGTGCTTGGCAGGTAGGGAGGTGATAACACAGTAGGTGTTCTTTTTTCCTTTTTTCCTTTTTTTTTTTTTGCCTCTTTACCAAAGTCTTTTTCCTTCTGATGTTAACATAATTGCATTAAATTCCGTGACTATGAATTTAAGTGTGTCTTCTTAGCTCACATATTTAGAGTACATATTCAGATTCAATTTAAGGTAATCACCTAATTGTTCGAGAAGGAGATTATACATATTAGTCACCCTCCAGTTATCTGGAGAAAGAAAGAAACGTTATAAAATTACATGGTAACTGTTTCAGGCTGGATTCCTGGGCAGCTGCCCTAGATGGAGCTTAGTGAGTAGGATGTTTATTAAGGGACACCCTTGGGGTCAACAGGGTTTGAGGGAGGGGAAGGGAGGGGAAGGAAGCAGGAGTGGGCAGAGATAGGAATCAAACCACTGTGTAGGCTCTAAGACCACCTCGGCTGACGCCACAGACATCTCTGGAGCTACCCTGGCCCTTCAGTGTGGTCTGGAGCTGGGCCCCCAAGGCCAGGCCCAGTGGTACCTCCAGCTGGACCAGTCATCAGGTGTGAACCACCACAGGACATTCCTAAAGGGGCTAACTTAGCAATGCTCTCTAATGACGGCATTCCAGCCCAGAGCCTCAAACCTTCACGACAGGGATCCGGGTAGCGCTGTGTAGTAAAATCATCACATCATAAGAGATGTCCACAGTTCTCTTGCCATTTGTACAAACCCAGGAGTGTGGTGGAGGAATCCCAAGTTCTAGAGCTGACTGCTAGGGTACTTCATGGTAGTAACCTAATAAACCTGGCTACCATGACAATGTTTTTTTTTTAGCCAGCATCCAAAGCAGCATCCAAAGAGCTAAATGGCCGCTGTTCATGGCTAATACAAAGAATCCAGGTGTACTGCTTTGATCTCTCCCAATGGAATTGAAGGTTTGCTCTAAATTAAGACTGCGAAGTAGCTAGTATCCTTAAAGCCACCAGCTACTGACATTGATCTAACCATGACCAGCGCTGTCATAGACTGTGTATTTCTCTGTTTCCGATGGATTCATTTCCAAAGACTCTACCCACACTTCAGCAGCCACTTGGTTTAATAAAACTCTATGTGCATTTCTTGGGACTCCAAAGGGATTGGTTTGACTCTAGTCATAGAAGTGAAGTGTTTTTTATATCTATCTAGTTATACGTATGAGGTGTCCCCAGTGTTTCTGTTAGTGGAAGAAGCGGTTCTGAAGAAAATGATTGAATTTATTGGCTGGAAAGAAGGGGATGGAATATTTAACCCAGGTAAGTACAATGAGTTATTGCCTCCATTAAAGCACCTACAATTTTATTCATTCCTTATTTGAGGAGCAACTCCCCACAGACTTCCACATTACAAAAGCTTGGATATTAATCATGCCACTTGGGGAGAATCGAGCTTGTGCCTTTCTCCAGAGTGATGATATTTTGCATAAATGCTACAGAAGTGACATACATGCTAACAAATGAGATGTCTACAATTTTGGATTTATATCCAACACAAATGAATTTATCTGTTGCTGGGAGTTAGGAAGGGCTGTCATACGTTTTTCAAGTTTATCAATTAATTTTACTTGAGGAGTTTCCTGAATCATATTTTATTTCTCCTACAGTCCTTCTTTGGAACCAGGGAGGAGCATGTATTGTCATTTTATTGATTAGAGACAGACAGAAAGAATATTATTAACTATGGAGACTTGGGTACTGGCCCTAAGTCCATAGATGGAAACTCTTAGTTTAGCAAAGCTCTGGAATGAGAGAATAGACCAAAACTTCTGGAACTGGAGATGAGGAAGTGTGTAAGAGTAATGGGATTGGGGGCGGGGGGTGCTCCCTTGATTTTGACAGTAATTTGTCATTAGGCTGGTGCACCCGCAGCCATCCATACCTCCCACCGTAGCCGGCACTTGGGGAACAATGACGTCATGCTATACATATTTCTGTTTTTGTTTTTGCAGGTGGTTCAGTGTCCAATATGTATGCCATGAATTTAGCCAGATACAAGTACTGTCCTGATATTAAAGAAAAGGGGCTGTCTGGCTTGCCAAGATTAATCCTTTTCACATCGGCAGAGGTAAAAAAAAACAAATTATTTTTGATATGAGATATAGATTCTCTGAGAATGAATAAATACATCATGAAGAGGGCTTGTTTGTTTGGGTGCTCCCGATGTGCTTTTATCCCATCCATGTGTGAGTCATGTGCCTACGTACAACGTTGTATTCATTCCAAAAGAAATTCTGATCGGTTTGATGTGGTAAGCCCTGGCCACCCAATTTTGTACATCACCTTTATTTAAAATTTATAGTCTGTAACATTTTCTTAGAGAAAAGAGAACACTTAATTTGAAAGTGCCACCTCTTTCTATGAATCTCTGAGTATCTTATTTATGAGAACTTAGATGATTGCTACTGATATCAGGTATGTCTTCTACTCCCATTTCCTTGTGAAATTGATTGCTTTGAATGGCTAACACAAGGGCTCTTCAAAAAGAAAGGGAGATATTCAGTAACAATGAACATCATGCGCGCGCACGTGCGCACACACACGCACAGTTGGATGTTGCCACGATGCCCTATCTCACTGTGCTCCCCACTGAAGTAGGAGGTCCAATTGTGGATGAGCACATTGGCTTTCAGCTAGGCTGCCTGGATTCAATTCCTGTCTCCACTACTTACTATTTGAGTGACCTTGGGTAAGTTGACTAATTCCTCTGTGCCTCAGTTTCCTAATTTATAAAAATGAGTGTGTCAGTTAGCTCTAATATCTAAAAAATTACTCCAAAACCCAGTGGCATAGACCTATAGCCAGATATTATTGCCCTCAAGTTTGGAGATAGCTGGGCAGTGCTGCTGTTCTTGGCTGGGCTTGGCTGGCGAGTGGCTGACCTGGGACGACCCCAGTGATGCTCCACGTGTCTCTCATCCACCAGCAGGCTAGTCCAGGTGTGTTGTCATGACAGTGGTGCAGGTAAAAAACAGCATGGACACACACTGGGCCTCCTGAGTCCTGGGCTCAGAACTGGCACATTGTCATTTCTCCCTCATTTTCTTGGTAAAATAAGTTGTATATAGGAACATAGATCCAAGAAGTGGGAAAATAGACTTCACCTCTTAAGGGGACTCTGCAAAGCCACCAGGAAAAGGGATTGGATGCAGGGAGCAGTGAACAGTCTGGGGCCATTAAAGCAGCCCAGTGGCGACATGAGCTTAGTAGGCACTGATTGATTAGTGGGTTATTGCAAAGATTGAATGAGTTACAGCATGTAAAGTAGCATCTGGCACATGCTAGATAGACAAAAATGTTAGCTATTAGTAGTAATAGGAGGAGGAGAATGGCCCAGCAATAATAATGCGGAGCACAGCTCATATGCAGTCTTACTTAGAAGGGATGCTTTTTTTGTTTTTCTTTTTGTGATTCCAGTGGGGGCCTCTGGGGGTCCATCCCACCACTGCTTCTTCCCCATGTCCCCTCCTGTACCTTCTGCAATAATCCTAGGTCTCCTGTCAAACACGTGAGGTGGGCAAAATCTGAAAATTCTCTGTTAATTCCAGCTGGACTTTCCTGTATCTGTTACTTTCTTTCAAGAGCAAGTTACTTTATTATGGCAAAAGTATAAATGGTGCAGGAACCTGACCACCCCCGCGTGTTCCCCCTGCCTGAGTTCTGGTTAGTTCAACGCTAAGGGCAAAGTGGGCATTGAGTTGGGGGCAACTGGGAGGAGTCATCTAGTCTGAGATTCTGACCTCAGCTCCCCAGGCCCTTCCTCATGAGATGTTCATTCTGTAGCAAGAGAAGAATGCTTGGGAATGTGGACATCTGGGGAAAATGCTTGGTTATTTGGAATGATTATGGAGTAGAATTTTCCCTGCCCTTTGGTTCCAACCCTCGGGTTCCAATCCTTGGTATTTCAGTTGGAGGAACCCTAGTGTATCAGAAATGCAGAGCCCCTCTGCATTAGAATTGCTATTTCCATGCCTTGGAAAGCTGATTAAGTAGGGGCCCTGCTATCAGTGCAGTGGTTTTACTTTTGCCTTTTTCGTTCTTCATTTGGTTTAAAATGTGCCAGAGTTCTTTTCTGGGATAATTGCTCCAGAAAGAGGGAAGAATTTCTATGGAAGCCTAAAATAAAGATTATGCCTGGGAAAGATCAGTAACAGGTGTAGCTGGCAAGTTGGGAATGAAAAGAAATTGAAAAGTTGTGAACCCGGAACTAAGTATGTTTTAAAATCTCCGGTGGAGATGTAGGTGCAAAAAGAGGTAAAATATATGCCTTGGCTAACAGACTGGCAGAGGATGGAGCCAGAAAACCAAGCTAGATGTGTGTCTTAGTTTGCTCAGACTGCTCTAGCCAAATATAGAGTGGGTGGCCTAAACAACAGACGTCTGTTTCTCACAGTTCTGGAGGCTGGGATGTCCATGATCAAGGTGCTGGTGTCTGGGGAGAACCTGCTTCCTGGCGAGTGAACCTCTGTGCTCACATGGCCTTGCCTCTGTCCAGGCTCGTGGTCAGAGTGAGGCCTGCCTTCCTCTTCTTACAAGGACACTCATCCCATCAGAGTCTCGCCCTGGAGACCATCACATTGGGGGGCAGGGATTAAACACACACAAATTTTGAGGGGACTCAAACATTCAGTCCATAACAAAGTGAACTCCACAGAAAAATTCCATAACTTTGAACACACTGTAGCCTTTAATATGTAAATTTTACCCCATCCACCGTACTCTTCTTTGTAGCTCCTTCTTTTCCCTGCTCTGCCAAAGAGACCCAAGTCATAGCATTGGCATTACCTTAATTCATATTTTAGGGACCTCTGTACCACTATTTACAACAAATCAATTCATTACTTAGTTAAAAAAAGAAGAATTAAAGAAAGCTGTGTTTCCTAAAAGATCCTAAACCCTATGCTAATCTTTTTGTTATAGCCCCCTTGTTTTTTTTCAGGCATTGGCCCATGGCCCCCTGGTTATTTTACCAGATTGTTTTATCAGGTGGCCTTCCTTTTCCAGTTTTTATGCAGCCCCAGATGAACCAGGGTAAGTTACTCCATCCCTGCCTTGCACCATCAAATGCAGAATACGTGCACTCGCCACTAAAGGGGTTTTTGCATACACTTCAGGTGTCCACGGTAATTCAGCTGTTGGTGGAGACCAGGAAGATCACAGAAGAGACCCCTAGACTGTCAGCATATCTAAGGTAGCCTCTCCAGGCCAAGCGGGAACCAAAGAGAAGGGGACTTTTGGAGAAAAGTAATAAAAGGAACAGATTTGTGGCCTGATCAGCAGTTAGATATGAATTCCTTACATTTATAGAAATCTTAGGGTTGTCATTCAAATCATTTTGGGAATTAGCATGAAGTAGTGATTATTGTCTGCCACTAAAAAGTGAGGGAGAAAAGAAACCCTTTTCACTCCCAGGCCAGTGATCAGTTGTCATAGTTCCTTACTAACAGGATCGAGGCTGGGATGAGGCAAGTGAGACGTGTAGAGTCCACATTTCAAGGTCACGCCTCCTTAAATTTTGCACCCGAGGTGCCTGACTCCCTCCATCACGGCCCTGCTCTCTAGGTGAGGCTGCCCTGAGTTTGGATGGCATTGCAGGCATTCACGGGCCAGCAGGTGCTTTTCAGGATGTTGTGCAGGGTGTAAGGTAGTCCATCCGGATTCCGACTCTGCCTCTTTAGGAATTGAACCAGCTGCGTGCTCTTGGAAAAGTCCCTGTACATTCCTTTTCTTTATTTCCTAAGGCATAACATTCATAACCCCGCTCTCCGCACCACCTGAAGCTAATCTGAACTTCAAACTAGTCAGCATCATAGGACTTCAAGTGTCCAGAACACAATCCACAGGAGGGGGAAAGCAGCGGTTCACTGAGAAACCCAAGGTCACAGATGAAATCCTTGCTGGAACCAGGAAGGAAAACTTCAGTGCAATTCTGTCTTTCCTGTGGGCACTGGGCCGTCTTACTTTTATAGAAATGAATACCCACTGAGATTTGTGTGTCTTCTGTGGACGAGTGAAACTCAGGGGGAGATTGGGTCTTAGAAGGACTAACTTCTCTTCTGCCAGTGAAGGGAGTAGGCACGTCCTGTTGCTAAATGCAGCTGTTACTTCTGAACTCCGGCCTTCTAGGTTTTTCCTTCTCTTGAAACTACTCAGTATGTCTGAAGCATTGCTCTCTCTTTTTTTTCCCCCTTCCAGGGCTCTTTTCCTCCTCTGATGCTTTCAGATGTTTAGACTTCAGTTTTTCAGACTTGTGAAAAGCTGTCTCTATCCATTTGAGATTGACATTGGACTCTACTTTGCCCTGAGATACCCAAAAATAGCTCCACCGAGGCTATTCTTATTCCGATGACAGGTTTTTTATTCAGCAGATCCATTGGTTGGGGGTATTTTGCTGTTTCTCAGGGGAAAGCAATGTGATTTTCCTTATTGGCAGATGTCAGTGGGGGTAGGCTACTATTTATCATTATGAAATCAATAGCTGTTTGGTGCCAGAGCCCCAATCTCTGGTGAGAGATAATTCACCTTAGCTGTGTCACCTTAGCTATGGTGGGCTGATGTAGCAAGTAGGGAATTAACTATATTTTCATGTACATTATTACCCTTCACTATGCACACGTTCTTGTAACAACTCGAAATGAATGCATCCTGTAGGCAATTTGAATGTGTCCTGTTTGATATTTGAAAATTAATTATTTAGGATGGTTTCATTTTTCCTGATGGTGTTACTTCTGCATTTATTTTTACAGAGTTAAAAAAGAGCTCCCCATAAAACTCTCTTGACAAAAGAGGAAAAAATTACCACATTTGAGGGAAATATATCAAGTTAAGTGTGAAGGCTTGACTACTCTTTTAATGTATTCATACCTACAAATTAAATTACTAAGGTTTTTTGGTACAATAATGTCCCTTAGCACCTTCATTTTTTTCTGGCATGAAAAAGAATTAATTGACCACCTGTCCACAGTAATGTATAAAGAGCGACATGTCCAATGTTTGAATGCTAATTATTTTATAGGATTTAGGTAGGGCAAAAAGACCCAACACTCCAAAGTCTATACTACTATTTTCTGATAAGAAATAGACAAGACCTAATTCCAAAGCCAGCTCTTAGCCTCATTCATGCCAGGGCTGCATCAGTAGTGTGTCTATAAATTATTATTACTTTTGTTGTTATGATTTAGCCACATTCCCGTGTGTCTAATTTCAGTCTTATATTCAGTATTAAATAAGATTGGTCAAAGTGTCTGATCAGCATTTATAACCCATTGTTTGCTCTTGAAAACAGATCCTCCTGTGTCTGTGACTACAGTTTTTGAGACAGTCTCGCTCACTCCTTAGAGGGCTTTTGAGTCAGCAGTGGACTAGATTCTGTTTCCGTTAATACTGAGTTTTATTAGTAGCATCAAGAGAAGCTTTTCTCAATGTTACATAAAACAACAGCCCCCAGTGACCAAGTTTTTTCCGTATGCCAGGCTCTGTGCTAGCTCTTCACATACATTAACCCATTTAACTCCATGACAAGCAGGTGGAGGAGGCATCCACATGTCCGCTTTATAGATTAGCAAATGGAGGCTTGGAGAGTATGTGTTCTTTGCTCAAGGGTCTATAGCTGTAACTGGGAAAACTTGGAATTAAATCCTGGTTTCTCTGACCCCAACCAAAATCAGTGTTTTCAGCCACTATACTAAAGAGCTCAGTTAAGTGACTTTCTTTTTTTTTATGGCAATACTATTCCAAAGGTTGGGCTTAGCCATATGATGTACAACCATTTAGATAATAAACAGTACTTTTTTCATGCTGTGTATTTGTGTCTCTCTCTCCCCCTCGCCTTTTTGAATGTAGTGTCATTACTCTATGAAGAAGGCGGCCTCCTTTCTTGGGATTGGTACTGAGAATGTTTGCTTTGTGGAAACAGATGGAAGGTAATGGGGACAGGATCCAGAAGCCGGGTGGGTGGAGGGGGAAACTGATACTATTTAAAAAGCAGTACCAAGGTCTGTTCACAGCTGAACATAACAGTGTCTCAAACCTGTGTCTCCTAGAGGTAAGATGATACCTGAGGAGCTGGAGAGGCAAGTGTGGCAAGCCAAGAAAGAGGTGAGAGGGGGAAGGAGAGGGAGGGAGAGAAAACGTTTGTGTGTCTGGCCATTGGGGGAGCACGCAGGGCCAGCAGCCAGGCCCACGTCTGTATGTGTGGGAGAGAGAAGAGGGCCCCTCAGAATTAAAGGAGGAAGCTCATTTACAGATGTGCTATTTCCGGGTGCTTGCTCTACACGTTCTGCGGAGTTTCTCAGATGTTCTCATTCCCAGATGGCTGGAGCTTATTAAAACACTGACATCACTGGATTCCGGATTCTTGCCTAGAATTAGCCTCAAAAGATGAGCCCAGCGTCTCTAGCAGGGTCCCAGCATCCACACTCCTACGTAGCTCTTGACTCTGAGGATGCTACAGGCTAAACCAGTTGTCTCTGGGCTGCATTCAGGATGATTTCTGATTTCTTGATCAAACTGTCCTCCTGGGTTGCTTCCACCCACAGCCCATCCATAACCATCACCCCCTGTTGGGTATGGGTCTAGTATTTCAGCTCTGGCAGACTATCCTCTCTTCCTTAGCTGCCAGGATGTATTAAAGCTTGCACCTCCATTGCTGGGGAAGACAAGGCATGGCCCTGGTCACCTGCTATACTCCAGCTAAGCCTGGCATCTGCTTTTTGGGTGTGGCATTGTCTTGGTGCCAGCCATCTTGCTTCTTGGACCAAAAGCCTACTGGATTAGGTGCAGCCACTTCACTGCTTCCCTCCCATCTTCCTGCAGTCCCCATGCCAGTGGAGCTTCAGACTGTTCTCCCACCACTTTCCAATAGACCGCAACAACGTGGGGTGTGACTGCTGAAAAATTAAAAGCCCAGCTTTTGAGCTGGGATATAAGTTTATCTCTCCTCAGAGGGCTTCACACTTTAGGAAAGATGGGTTCTTTAATTTGTATTTTTTAAGATTTAGTATTATATTTCTCTTCTTTCACTCTTCATATTTTTAAAAATTTTTCGTGAAATTCAACTTGTCTGGAGCGTGCTAGATCACTGTATTTGGTGTGAAATTCTGTACTTAAAAGTTCTGCCTTTATTGCACATGTATTGGCTTCTGGTATGTGTCCTTAGCACTATATTTTTTAAAACATTCCATTGACAAGTGGATTTGATAGTTGTCTGGCGGTACAGGTTATCAGATTTCTTTATCTCTTGGGTAAAATTCTATATTGCAACCTGTTTATTCTGCTGTGAACTACAGATATCACCTTCTAGTTTGATCTATTTTTTAAAATCTAGTTTTATCTTTTTCTACAGAAGTTCCTATCAAAAAGAACTTTATGTTATTAATGCTTGTTGGTGGGGAACACCCACCAACACCCCTTCCTCCTTCCTTCCTTCCCTTCCTCTCTTTCTCTTTCCTTCCTTCCTCCCTCCCTCCCTCCCTTCTTTCTTTCAATTCTAAACTTTTCATTATGGAAAATTGTAAATATATGTAAAACTAATATAATGAGATTCCATATACCAGTCATGCAACTTTCACAATCATTAGCTTATGCTCACATCCCCTCCCAGTGCCTCTAGATCAGTTTGAAGTGTATCCCACACATTATGTCATTTGATAAATAGTTCAGTATATCTGTAAAAGATATGCACTCTCTCTTTCAAAAAAGCCCATAACGCAATTATAAGAAAGAATAAGTTCTTAATATTATCCAGTATTCACTCTGATTTAACTTTCTCCCATTGCCTTTTTAAAAAAATAGCTGGTGGTCTGAATAAGGAGTCATACAAAGTCCACGTGTGGCATTTGGTTGATTTATCACATAAATCTTTTCTAACCTGCAGTCTCCCCTCCTTTTTTCCCCTGCAACTGATCTGTTGGAGAAACCAAGTCCCTTGTCCTGTAGAGTTTTCACATTATGAATTTTGTTGATTCCATCAAGAATTTGAGACTCTGAAGTGCTCCCCTCCCCTGTACCTCCCCATCTGTTTTCTATATTTCCTGTAATTTGGCTGTTAGATACCGAGACTTGGGAAGATTCAGGTTGGAATTTTTACCAGGACGACTTCATGGGCGGCATTTTGCCTTTCAATCAGGAGACGTCTTGGACCTCCTTTTGTTATCGGTCCATCTATCACAGAACTCTGCATCAGCCTCTCACCTCATGGATTTTGCTGCCATTTGTCATCATTGTCTAGACCCGTTATTTCATTAGTGAGGTTCTAATTCATTCTCTCATTCCTTCTTCATTTAGTGGCAGGCCTACTACCCTAAACATTTTTGTTTCTTCATCCGTATTTGGGTTCCCTAAGGAAACAGTTCGGACAAGCAAGACAGAACCAATATTTTATTCTTTTCCCTTATTTACCAATTTTCAGAATAGTGAATGAGTTGCCAGGCATCCTGAAAGATAGCCAAACCTTTTTTTCTTTTTAAAGTATCATGAAGAACTCATCTTCTAACATATTGGATGGATTTTACTCCACGGCAGTCATTATTATTTTCATTGTTCAAATTTCTGTTTGTTTTGACAATGAAAGTCCATGAAAGTGACATATCCTGAAGTTGAGAACTTGAAAGGGAAGTTTTTTAAAAGTAAAAATTGCTTTAGGCACATTTGAAAGTAGGGCAACAGGGTTAGAGTTGGCATGCCTCCTCAGTTTTCTCTCAAGTCAGTTTAAAACTTGAGCTTGGATTCACTAAGGACAAATCTTGCATCCATTCTGAGATTTTAATACCTGATGACTAGTTTCTTTTTCTCAGTAGCTTCAGACCTACTTTTTGTTGTTGTTTGTTCCAAGTTTTTAACTCATATTGTTACAGATGTAGGAAATAAGTTATCCACTTTTTTTCTTTTTGCTGCTGGGGTTCAATTCCCTGGCCAACCATGATCCATTAAAAATCTGTTGAGCAGTGACCTTTACCTTGATGCCATTACAAAGATGGTAAAAACCACAGAAGCATCAGAAGTTCTAAAGTGCTTATAAAAAGATAAAACTAGTATAAACACTGAATAATTGGAAGTATTTTTGTGTATGAGTATTTGAAATGACAAACTTTCTTAGAGAATACAACTCATTGGCAGCAACAGTCAATACTGTTTCCACTGACTTTTCTCATTAATAGTGTGAGATATGAGAAAGGGAAAAAAAACCCTGGAAGGTTAAATCCAGATTATGAAAGTTGAATTTCCGGGACTTATATTTATAGCTAGATTAAACAGGTGAGGAAAACTCATTAATGGTCTGTAATAGCTAGCATAGATATTTTCTCACAATTGTCAGGTTGTCATAGACTTTATAAGGAAAGCTCAACCATTAAAGACACCTTCAGTGGTTTTAGTAAATTACTTTTTCTATTGCTTTTACTGATGGATGTAAATCTGGTCACATTTCATTTAGGTCATGGGCATGAGAAAGACATAATCTGTTGGTAGTTGATTACAGGGAATAAGTCCCAAAGCCTATGGTCCCAGGGGCTCTGTCACCTACTGGCCCTGCTCTAGGAGCCTTGGTGGACTGTATTCCATGTGTCACAGCCGTCTCCCCACGTGGCAGATGGACCCATTGTGTACCATCACTTTGATTCCTGTGCATCTCAGCCTAGAGATGTGGACCAAGCGTCCTTGCTCTGCCCCACTTTCCATCAAGAAATAACGTCTTTCTGTCAAAGGTCAGCTAAATTGGAATGAATCTGGTTCAAGCCGAACACCCCTGACATTAAATTATGTTACAAGAACAAGTGTATTTCACGATAAAACTGAGGGAAAAATGACTCCATCCTAAAATGACTTTGACTCTTTCTCTGCAAGTAAGTATTCTTGTCACTGACTTCATGTGCTCTAGAATCAGGATTCTACTTGCTCTCCTGATCACCACCTTTGTCGGCAAATTTTCCCCTCATGGCACTTCCAAAGAGAGCAACACACCTGTGCCAACACGTTGGGATGGATCTATCTGGAAACAACCTCGTGTACTGTCTTCTACATGGCTGCCATAAAATCCCTCATGGGACCAGGGTGCCTGGCTCGCTCGGCTGGAATTACCATTCATCTCTGCACTTGTTCCCGCATTCTCCCTTTCCTCCCATTTCTCACGGGTACCTGCTCTCTCCGCAAGATGCAGCCATGGACTGGATGAGGAGGGAAAATTATGGCAGAAAGACGCAGGTTCTCTTTTCCAGCACATTCTAATGACTTTGTCTGTGGCAGCACCCGTTTGGGGGAGTGTATCCCAATGAGGTTCCCGTATCCCCTCTGAGGCCAAATTTGTACCTGATTACATCCCTTGCCTTGTAGCTGCACTTACTTTACCAGGTGACAAGCAGACAGGCCTGCATGGCCTGCTCCTGGAGCTGGCTGTTTGTCTTCCAGTCCTGTTCCTTCTTATTTCGGAGGTGTTAGGGAGGCCCCGATGGGTCTCCCTGGGAAGGAGTTAGGAGTCACACAAGGATGCCAGTTTGCTGTGGAGGTTGAGTTTATTCACTTCTATGCAGAAAAGCTAGAGAGCAGAACAGACTAATAAAGAAAATGAGAGTAAAGAGACTAAGGATGCACGTGGAGTTGGGACAAAGGATACTATTGTCGTGGCATTTTCTGTTTCTTTAACCGATTTATAGTGACTAGAGGCCATGTGATGGAGAAGTGTAAACAACACTGACTCAATGAATGTTTATCTCCAAAGAAACCAGATAAATGTCTGGGTGTATAACCCTTGTGTTTACCAACCTACTGCAGATTTAATGGTGACGATGATGATTCTTATAATTCTCACGTGTGGGTCCTTCTCACAGGGCGCAGCTCCATTCCTTGTCTGTGCCACATCTGGTACCACGGTATTGGGGGCCTTCGATCCTCTGGATGAGATAGCGGACGTCTGCGAGAGGCATGGCCTCTGGCTCCACGTGGATGTAAGTTCGTCTGGGTGTGCATATCTGTTAAACTTTCTAGCCTTTTTTGCGGCTTTGGTGGGAAGTTTTTCGTACTCCCAGTGACTAAATCTGAGGTCCCCAGCTAGTTGTATTTAAATGTATATTTCTAATTAGGGGAAATAAATGTGTTGTTTCCTGTTAGGTAATAAAGAAGAAGATCCCGCATTGATGCACATTTTGTCTTAGTTTTCCAGATTTCCTCTTCTGTCCTGAATCATTTCTTTGGTCCCTTGGATCTACTGTCACTGAGGCAACACTGTGTGGGGGACACATTTCCTACTGTGCAGTCGAGAGGCTGGTTTTGGATTCGAATCTGCCTCCTCTTCATTATGACCCCAGCTGTTTGGGTTTTGGTTTCATGTGTAAAGAGGGAAATGACTGACGTGGTCAATAAAGGATCTTCTAGCTCTAACATTCTGTGCTTCCAATCAGCTGGAAAATGCAAAAGGCTGCATGGCTTCATTGCATGCCATAATTAAAAACAGGTTTTATCTGGATCTATCATAGATAACTATTGGAGAGGGATTGGGATAACTTATATTCTTCACAATTTTCTGACTTAAAGGGTTGGCCTTTTTTTTTTTTCTAATTAGCTTTGTAGGTCCTAGGGTTGTTCATAATAATTGTTGTCCTAAATTAAAAGTAACTCTTACAATTCTACTTATTTAAGGTTAAAAAGTTGAATTCAGCCAGTTTTGAATGCTTGTTGAGCATTTTGGTTTTCTTTGTGTGTGTGTGAAAACAGCAGTTAATTAGTTTGATTCAACCCAGTAGAAGGAACTGTTGAACCTGCAGTTGAGAGGAACTTTCCTCCAGGAAGTGAGTGGTTTTGTGTCCTCCTTATCAGAAAAAGAAAGGACAATGTTTTTGACTTACTGAACATTAGGTAACTGAGCATTTCTTTGGGGGATATGCCTGCACATAATTCTATAGTTTGGATGATTTTATGCTTTCAAGGTAAAGTTTCTATGATATAATATCGAAAGAATTTTTCAGCAGCTCAAAGCTTTCATTAAATGTATGCTAATATTTGGTAAAAGCAGAAGTAGTAATGTAAAGCTCACTAGAGTTACAGGCTTGATTAGTAAGCCAATGGCAATACATCAGGTAGATTATTTGTGACTTCTTTAAGTGGGATTATAGTATCTGTATCTGTTCACATTTCAACTTGTATCTTATTGATTCTTATAGACTTAGAAGCATAATAATACAGTATGTCCTGAAAGATAATATGAAGTGAGTACTTTTGTGACTGTGGAAATAGGGGCAAAATCAAATATATGAGCAGTTATACTTAAAAATTCTACTCTCATAAAAGAAACATCAAATATAGAGTATATGGTTTATGTAAAACAGAGTAACTACAGCAGTTTCCAAATTGGGAATGATATTAAGAGATTTATGGGGCTTAGAAAGAATTGTGATTTATAAGATGTGAATGAAAACCTCTCTAGATTTTCTAAAAATCAAAGGTTGAATTTTTGAAGAAAACACTTTTATAAGGGAATATTTAAGCCATGCAAACTGTTCTATTTGCATATAATAAGCTTCAAGTTGAATGTCTGTAGTATTAGATTAAATTTGACAACTGTTTATATGACTTATTAAAGAAATTAGCTCTAACATTGAAGCAGTACTCACTCATCCTCTAATATTGCAGACATCATTCTGTTGATAAAATTTTATGCAGGAGCATATAACTTCTCTTGAAGAAACTTCATATACCAAGGGTAGTTTATTAATTTTACAGGTAAAAATTAGTAAAATTACAGGGATTACTTGGGCCTGTTTGAATTTCTTTGGCTGCATTGGGTCTTCGTTGCTGCACACCAGCTTTCTCTAGTTGCAGTGGGCGGGGGCTACTCTTCCTTGTGGTGTGCAGGCTTCTCATTGCAGTGGCTTCTCTTGGCACGGAGCACGGGCCCTAGGCGCATGGGCTTCAGTAGTTGTGGCACGCAGGCTCAGTAGTTGTGGCGCATGGGCTTAGTTGCTCCACGGCATGTGGGATCTTCCCGGACCAGGGCTCGAACCTGTCTCCCCTACATTGGCAGGCGGATTCTTAACCACTGTGCCACCAGGGAAGTCCTGAAATTTTCTAAAGGGTATTTTAAAGATCCTTTAAAATATTAAAAACTGGCATTTACTTGATTTCTTTTTTAAAATGTAATTAGAATTGTAACTAGAAATGTAACTAGAATTGCTTGGTCTTCTGCATTTTCCATAAAACCAGGTTGCCCGGCATATATACCATACCTTATTATTTCTAAGGTACACATATTTTGTTTACATTTTTGTAAACATTTGATTGGTATGTTGATGTCATTTTTTTTCTTTCTTAGCAATCCACAAAAAAATGGTACTCTTACCTCTGATAGTGTCTGAAATTTGGTTAATTACAATGTATTTTTGAACAACAGAATAAGAAAAACTTCAGCTGTGTTAGAATATTTTGCCTCCAGGATTATTCTGTATCTGCGAGAGTCAATGTTATCCCAGCCTCTGCCTGAGACCAGGATTTCAGGGCTGGTCCAGCTCTTCTCTGAAGCAGAGGCTGCGGCCACTGCAAAACCTCACCCTCCCAGCAACACTTCCTACGGTGTCTCACCCACACTCCATCCCAAGTCCCGGGGGAGGTGACAAGCACTGTATTTAAAATCATGGGCTTTAGGGGCTGCCATCTCTACATTCCACCCTGCCTCCACTTCCCATTCAAGATTGGCTCTACAATTAAATTATTAACTAATTACTTGAAGAGAAAAACGTGGTAAAATGGTACTCATGGTGTCTGGCTCATAGCTCAATAATGACATCCGTTGGTTCGATGTTGTTGCGAGCTCTGGAGTGAGGGGTTATGGAGCGAAGCCAATACAAGTAGGGCACTGGCATCAGGCACGTCGTTTTTCCCCTTCAGCTCTTTTGTGGAATACATTTGTGGATGAGCTGCTTCTAACTCTGCCTACCACCCTGTAAACCAGTGAACTAATGCCTTGAAAGAGTTCATGTGACTTTAAAACTTCAATCCAGCTCACTAAGATTGGCAGAATGTTGTCTACTTTTTGAGGAGGAAGAAGAGGCAGAGGCCAGTGCAGGAGGCACCAGGGAGGGCAGGTGTGTGAGTGGGCAGGTGGAAAGGGTGAGAGTGAATGGGCGTGGCTGAGCTCTACTGATTTATCCTTCCCCTCGTTGCCCCTGGTAGGTTCTCAGTGCGGTTGGGGGTTAAAAAGATTGAGAAAAGCAGGCAACTTAAGAGTTTAGGGATATAAGAGAAGTAAAAGAACCTAATATGTAAGTCATCTTCATGTTCCTGAGGGTCAAGTTCTCAAACCCCAGGTCTGGGGAGCCTCAGTTAGCAGGTTCAGATCACGTTTTCCCAGAGGCTGAGGGAAGCTGCCTCCATAGCTCAGCTTTGGTCACACATGGTCCATCATGCACTCTGGCGGGACAGAGAGGGCAGCAGCAAGGGGACTTGACTGACAATCCTGATCATCAGTCCTTTATCTGGGCATCTTTGGAACTCGCCTGCACACCACCTTCGGCCCACAAACCTTTGGGAACCCTATGGGGTCACTGAGAGTCTAGTCCCTGGAAACAGGGCTGGGACTAAGGTGAGGCAAGTGAGGTTCCTAGGGTTCATTGGACAGGTAAGTATTATGAGCAAAGGAGAGGAGGGCTGAGAATAAGGAGAGGAAAGGAAATCCCATTGTCAGTAAGCCTGCAGGGGAGGGAGGAAGAATCAATGTGAGAAATAAGAAAGTCAGTTTGGTATTTGAAAATTTAAGGAGGCATTCACGCCCAGGGCCATGCAAGAGTCCCACTCTGCAAGGGAGCTGAAGGGTGCACCCTGGGTGACTCGCTCACTTGCCCCTGGGCCCAGCCCTGAATGAGAGAGCTGTTCCTAAGGCCACTCTTTATTGTCCCCCATTGGGCTCAGCTTTTTAATACTCTGAGGATCGTGGAGACCTCTCCCTTACTTCCTCCTTCACATCCATGGTGCACACAATCTTGCCATTTCTTTCTGCATGATATTGGGCTCTTCCTTACCTTGTTTTTGGAGTTATTATTTCAGTGTTCTATTTCCTGTTGTATTTCTAGCACTTATAACAGTGTCAGTCTATTTAGATATGTAATAAATATTTCTTGAATTAAATTATTATACTCACTATAGTCATACTAGAATGCTCAAGGTCAAAGTTTGGGGCATAAAGTTTTTAGAAAGATCTTTTTTTTAAATTGCAATATAGTTGATTTACAATGTTGTGTTAGTTTCAGGTGTACAGCAAAGCGATTCAGTTATACATACATATTATATATATTTATATATATATATATATATTCTTTTCAGATTCTTTTCCATTATAAGTTATTACAAAATATTGAGTATAGTTTCCTGTGCTATACAGTAGGTCCTTGTCGCTTACCTGTTTTATATATAGTAGTGTGTATCTGCTAATCTCAACATCCTAATTTATCCTTCCCCTCCTTTCCCCTTTGGTAACCATAAGTTTGTCTTCTATATCTGTGAGTCTATTTCTGTTTTGTTATGTAAGTTCATTTATATCATTTTTTTTCAGATTCCACATATTGAGTGGTATCATATGATATTTGTCTTTCTCTGTCTGACTTAACTTCACTTAGTATGATCATCTCTAGGTCCATCCATGTTGCTGCAAATGACATTATTTCATTCTTTTTTATGGCTGAGTTCGAACTTTTTGGCCAGCCCAATATATATGAACCACATCTTCTTTATCCATTCATCTGTCGATGGATATTTAGGTTTCGTCCATGTCTTGGCTATTGTAAACAGCGCTGCAATGAACGTTGGGGTACATGTTCATTGGGGTTGCCTTTTAAAATTCTGCTAGGCAACTCCCCTCCTGCCTCAATGCTCCATGCTGAGTTCTACCATCAGGCCAATTGGTCACCTTCCCTAAGATATGATGTTAGTGTAAAAAAAGAATGGGCTTTTGTCTCTCAGACCTGATTTTTATTACCTATGAGACCTTGGAAAATTTATAACCTCTAAACCTTAGTTTTTCTATTAAAAAATTGACATGATGATAACTCTGTTCTCAGTGCAACGTTGTGCAGTTTAAATAACCGTGGAGAGCTTTCAACATCTCCCGTGCTGGTCCCCTCATATTCCCTCACAACAAGTCTGCTCGATTTCAAGTACCAAACTGACTTTCTTATTTCTCACATTGATTCTTCCTCCCTCTCCTCCAGACTTATTGACTCTGGGATTTCCTTTCCTGAACCCATGTCTCATGATCAGCACTTGTATATCGTGTATGGTAGAACGTCAACACTGAAGGGCTATTGTCTATTTTAGATTCTAAGATTTGAGAGGATATGGACTGTGTCTTTTACACTTCTCTTTGTCCACAGGCAACTCAATGAGTACTCTACCAATTTCCTTATAGTGTGGGAATTTAACTCCTAAGCGTCAGTGGGGGACCATCTATTGTGATGAGGTTCTGATCGCCTGGAGTCCACATTGGTTAACATCGACTTAAAGCATCAAATAACAACTGGCTGGTAAACAAGTACCATCGAAATAACATCATTTTGGTTATATAAATATCTCAACAGGCTTCCTGGGGTGGCTCAGCCTTGATGTCAAGGAAGCACCGCAAGCTCCTGCACGGCATCCACAGGTAAATGTAGTTTCCCCAGTCACAGTGCCTTTTATTTAAGCAAGGGACTCTCTTTGGCCTTTGCCCAATTAAGTGACATTTTGAAAACAGGCAAAAAACTAAGGAATTGTTTTGGTTTAAAAAAATCCCAAACTCCTTAAACCGCTCACACAAGGAATCCTTTGGAGCACTAACTTGGACGTGAATACTGAATGTACCAGCATTCTTCCCACCAGTAGAAACTAATTGAGTCTCCCCTCCCTACCCTCTTTTTTTCTTTGTTTAACGTAACAGGGCTGATTCTGTGGCATGGAATCCACACAAGATGCTGATGGCTGGGATTCAGTGCTGTGCTTTCCTTGTAAAAGACAAATCTGTGAGTTTTCCTCTTACGGCCTTCATCAGGCATGGAGGGGGGCAGATTACCATATTTTCAGAGGACCCATTTTTGCTTGTATTTTATACCTTGGGCCAGAGGTAGATGACGGTCTTTGGTAAATGTTGATGGAATCAAAAGGAAAGTTGAATAGACCCAGGTAAAAGAAACAAGTGCTTCTGCTCAGGTAATGTTGTGTATTTGATTTAGGTATTATATAATCTCATTACTTAGAGCAAAATGGTCTCTCTCGCCCTCATTTGGATTACATTTTTTTTTTTTTTTGTGGTACGCGGGCCTCTCACTGTCGTGGCCTCTCCATTTGCGGAGCACAGGCTCCGGACACGCAGGCTCAGCGGCCATGGCTCACTGGCCCAGCCACTCCGTGGCACGTGGGATCTTCCTGGACCGGGGCACGAACCCGCGTCCTCTGCATCAGCAGGCAGACTCTCAACCACTGCGCCACCAGGGAAGCCCCTGGATTACATTTTTAAACTCAGTTTTAAACATTGCCAAGATATTTTTTCCCGTTCGGGATCTAAGTTGTCCTGAAACTTCTCCTCCCTGAGAAAGGAGAGCAGATGTGTGTCATACATTAAATTGAATGCTTAATATGCTTAGCCGGGGCTTAACAGCCCCTTTATATGGGAAGACGTTGGTTCAGGGCTGATCATCAGACCCCGATTTATTAGGGGATTGCCTCTCTCAAGTGGTTAGTACTTAGCTTCTGTTGGAACACTGGGGAGAGCTGGAAACTAGTCTGGGTTGCTGTGAGGCAAGCAGGCTGAAGTTCCTCTTGGTTAGAGGTAGAAACCCTATGCTTTCTCTGGGTTAAATAAGGATCCTTGTGGGACGTGGCCCAGGCTGGGAAGTGCCACTTCATTCTTAGAAATGCCTCCTCAAGATCTGTGTGCAGCATGTGGGTGATCTTTCTCAGCCATCTGTTTACATTTTTTTCTTAGGGGACTCCCTTTGCCAATTCTAAAGTCATTTTCTCTTTTTAAGGAATTTTATTTCAAATGACAACCATATTTAAAACCTGAAATCTAGTCTCGTATGTGTGGATGGTTACAACTTTCTTTAAAAAAATTTTGTGGTATTTACATGTTGGTGCCCTTTGTGTTTTGAGATGACCAAACAAGATGTCCGTCAGAAACTATGAACAGATTCTGCATCTGTAGATAGAGAGACTCTTGGGAATATGAATCTACTCCTTCATGTTTTATTAGGTTGGCTACTATGGACTGCATTCAATGCCATTTAACTTTTATTCATTTAAGTTTTTCAATAGTAGAGTGACTGCATGTTATAACTGAAAGGTGGTTAAAGATTTTACTATATCATTTATGAATCAAAGAACATATTCAACTTGCCCACAGTTACATATATAGGACATGAAAGAGTTAGGAGTAAACCCAGGTTTTCCTGTGGTCTAGATATAAGAACAAAAACATGCCAAGCATCTTTTATGTGCCAGGCATTTTACATCTGCTTTCTCCCTAATCGGAATCTGAATGACATCTTTATCTGTTAGTGTGATGCTCTCAGGAGTGGAAAATTTAGACCCCAAATTTTATGACTATTCTTTTAAATAACTTTCTAGCTTTTATAAATTTTTCTTGTTGAATGGTATTTGGAGTGATTTAGCTAAGAATTGATTTACATTCATGTCCTTGAGGCAATTTAAAATTTTCTGGATCATCTAACGCTATATAACAGTGGTTAAAATAATTTTTTGAAGAATTCATTCCTGGATCACAATGCAGACTATAGCACCCATGTGTACTCACATGGCAGGAATTAACAGATTAGGAAAATTGCATTCATGGTGCAAAGAATGGAGCACTTTCAAAAGTTGCCTTTTTTTGATGAAAGACTGTTTTCAAATTACCTGGAATGCAGAATTGAACCATGAGTTATGAGATATGACCATCGGCTTAAGTTCTGTGTCGGCAGTTTTCTGTCCCTTTTGTACCTATTTTCTGCCTCTGTTGTTTTCTTTCATACTTTCATTCATTCTACCACTGCCAACTGACTCCTACATAGGCTGGGCGCAGTACTGATGCTGGGCTTAGAAACAGACACGTTCCCCATAGTCAAAGAGCTTATAATGTCACAGAGGAGACAGTGAACAAAGTGTGCATATTGAATTGTTTGATTACTATTTTGGTAAGTGCTCTGAAGACCGTGTTGGACACTGTTGATTATATATATTCACCAGCTGTCCTGACTTACTTCCTTCTCTCTCCTGATGCTCATCTAACGAGCCCCTCCTTGCAGCTAAGAGTCACCATATGACACAGATACGGCCACTATGATGAGGGAGGAATGTGAAACAAAGGTTTTAGTTTCTGGTAGAGGTGCGACACCCAAGAGGAGAGCTTTCTTCCCCCTTTTCTACCATGTATGCAGAAACATTGTTGTGTCAGACCATGACATAGGGAGCTCTGACAGCCACTTTGTAGCCATGAGGCAATGACCCTAAATTAAAAAGTGAACATGCACAGAATGGCAGAGCATAGTCTTGGATAGCAGTTTTGGAATATTGCCCACTTCCAGATTTTTGTGATACGTATGGTAAGTGTCTTTATTGCTAAAACTACTTCTACTGGGTCGTCTGTTACGTGACGCCAAATGCACTCTTATCTGAGACAGAGAACAGTGTGTTACTCAGACTACAAAGCAGGGACACCTGAGAAGTTCCAGATGGAAGCAGCAGCATGTGCAAAGTCTTTAAGAAAGGAGGGTCCTTTTTTGAATTTTAGGAACTGAAAGAGGTTCATAGTTGCGGAAGTACAGAGATTAATGCTAAGACCAGCATGAGATGAGACTAAAAGATTAGACAGTGGATGGATCATGCAGGGTCTTAGAAACCATTTTAATGATTCCATGTTCAGAACAATGGAAGAATTATAAAAGCAAGGAATAATCAGAAAAGATCTTCATTTAAGACGATGAATTGAAAGGGGGCAAAAATGGGTACAAGATGAGAAAAGACTTGCAAGTATCCAAACAAGATAATGGGTAGGGTATGGAAAAAGTGTGATAAAATTCAAGATATATTTTAGCTATCAACTAGACCAGGCTGAATGCCCAGTTATATATGGGACATGAGGAGGAAGCAGGCATCGTGGTTGACTCCCTGAGTAGTGATACAGCAACTGAGTGAATGGTCCTGTGTAGGGAGATGGAGATTGCTGAAGGAAGAGAAGATTCCACAGGGAAATACCTTGATTTAGCATATGGGCTATGTTAAATTTGAGACTCCTGTGTGGTATGCAAGTGAAGGTGTCATGTAGGCAGTTGACATATGGATCCAAAGCTAGGAAAAGGGTTCTGGGCTGGAAAAATATATTAGGGGATTGATTGTTGAATGCAGATGATGCTTGAGGTCATAAAGTGGAATGGCTTGCCTTGGGAGGAACTTTGTAGTGAGAAGAGGATGGAGATCTTAGGCCTGAAAAACTTCAGAGTCTGAGTTTAGAAGAGGAGGAACCAGCAATGAGAAAGCTGAGTTGGAATGGCCAGGGAGACAGTAGAAGGACGAGGAAAGCGTGATGCTAATGAAATAGAGAGAAACATATTAGGAGGAGTGTGACTCTGTCTTAGTGTCAAAGCTTGAGTATCACTTCCTTAAGGAGGAGTTTCCTGACTCACCCAAGTAACTGTCATCTCTCCATGATTCCTTCTCAGAGCCCGTTCCCTTCCTCTAAAGTGCTCATCACAATTTTTAATTATGATTTCTCATGTATTAATGTTCCCTTCCTTAGAATGTAAGCTGTATATAGATAGGAACCATGTCATTATATTCACCACTGCATCCCGTGTGCCTAGCAAGTACTCACTGAACGAGGAAATAATAAAAATCCACTGAAAAAATGAATGATTCAGTAAATTTAATATCCTCAGAAATATCTGCTTTCATATCAGCAATAACTAGGAGTTTCCACATTCTCCCCTACCCCAAATTATTCCTTCTGAGAGCTCTGAAGTAACAATGATTAAAATGATAGTTGATGAGCTTTATTGCCTTAGTCCTAACACAAGGCTTGGGTGTGCCTCCAGCAGGCAGTTGATGAATAGTGATTTTAATTTGGGCTTACTTCTCCAGTTAATGGAAAGGGGCAACTCTAGTTAAAAGAAAGCAAATTACTTAGTGAGCATACTTCTGTTAAGGGAAAAACCAATTCCCTAATTGTACCATCAAAGCCCCAGCATTCACAATGCTATTTTCCTGATTGACTAGCTGTTGGTGTTTGTTCACATTTTTAATTTCCTGTATCCATAAAGAAGACTGCTTCCGAAACAAAGAGCTGTTGCTCTCCAAGTCATACTATCACTAACACTCTGCATGATAGGGATAAAAAGAAAATCTGGGGTTTAAAAAAATCTGTGATTATAAATAGGTTGACTTCAGATGTAAGTGCTGGGTCTACATGGTTGCTTTGGATCAAAGACAATTTTGATGCTTTGATCTAAAATAAAAGGCAATACGTCTAAGAATCAGATGCATAGATGGAGAAAAATCTCAGTATTGGCTTTTTGACTTTTAGTGTTTATTGGAAGAACTATTTAGTTAAAAAAAAAAAAATCTAACAGATATGTGAAAACATGAAAAATGCTAATCAGATGACTTTTTGAGAATAAATAATTCCCTTCTATTTCTGCTTATCATCATCATCCAATATTAACTCACAAGGACTTCCTGTTTAACCTAGCAGCTATAGATAATTAAAGGGACATTTTTTTCTTAGAAAAACTATGTAGATACTAAGGATTTTTTTTTTTTTTTTTTTTTTCGGTACACGGGCCTCCCACTGTTGTGGCCCCTCCCATTGTGGAGCGCAGGCTCAGTGGCCATGGCTCACGGGCCCAGCCGCTCTGCGGCACGTGGGATCTTCCCGGACTGGGGCACGAACCCGTGTCCCCTGCATCGGCAGGTGGACTCTCAACCACTGCGCCACCAGGGAAGCCCCCAGTTTTTCTTTAGAAGAAGTAGC